CACCCAATCACACAATACATTTTCTAAAATCCAATAACTCTTAATCAATCACATCTTAATTAATTTATCTTTTAGAATTATCATCAAACTCGGAAATATCTCCAGCAATCCACCACATATCAGCCCAACCAGCATCTTCCACCAGTGGCTGGTTCAAGCACGTCTTCGTTGCGATGACCTCGTCACTTTTACACGAAATCCTTCTCGACCAGGAATAGAACCACCAGGAGCTGGTCATCAGTTAAAAAGGGCTTTGAGTCTTGACAGTGGCCTGGTGTCTTGGAGAGATCGAACTGGACGAAGAGATGGTAATGATAGTGACATTAACACCAGGTCACCATCTCCTAGTCCTTCGAGCGGAGTTGATGGAGGATCGATAAAGGATTCGCCTATGCAGATTGATGTCTTGGGAGGAGATAATAGTTTAGGTATGATATTTTGATTAAGGGGCACGGGGTGATTTTGAATTGAATTTTGGATTTTTCTATATTTCGATACATTATACACCTAAGTCTGTTTTTACACTGTCTTTTTGTACACGGTTTTGATATAACACGGTTTGAAAATTGAATATTTTTAAATTTTTTACACGATTTATTCCATTTAGCACGATTTTGAAATTTTTTATGTACTTAAATTTTTTTTGCCAAAGTTTAACTTTTGCAAGTATGTTCATATCACAAAAAAGTATTTTGAAGAAAAAGGTCTGAAACCATCGATAGTATCGATAGTTTGCAAACTAGCTTAAAGATTTAAGTGAATTTTTTTTTTTATTTTATTTTTTTTAAAATTGAATAACCTTTTTTTTCGTTCACAGCATATTTTTTTAGTTCCTGAACTTGCCATAACGTTTTAACTTATATTACTTTTAAGATTAGAGTGCATATCTTTTTATATCATTAATTACTTTGCTTGTGAAAATAAGCATTATATATTCGATTTATAAAATAAACATGAATTCTTGTTCTTAAAAATTCTTGTTTTTCGCTGATTTTAATAGGTTTTAGAGATTAGGAACAAATCACCCATTTTTGTATAAGATCAATGTCTTTTTTACACGTTTTTTTTTTACACGGCTTCTTCTGGAACCAATCTACCGTGTAAAAACAGACTCAGGTGTACTTTTAAAAATAACATACCGAAATTTTAAATCGATATCTTAAATAGTTTTTGAGTGACAACCATTCAAAGAGTATATTTATAGTATATAGTATAGCGATCATTTTATTTTTAAACGCGTTTTTCTTGAAACAGCATTTTCCGAATTTGCTGCAGCGATTACTCAAAAACAAATGATCCGATCGCTACCAAATTTTTTTTACACTATATATAGTTCTCCGTAAAATGAACTATCGATTTTTTGATCTGATCAAAAATCGAATTTTGGCAGTCCAAAAACTACCAAAATTTTGGGTAAAATTAGACCTTTTTTCAAAAAACGCCGCCATTTTGTCAATTTTTGATTTTTTTTATTGCAGGTCATTTTCCAGACAATATTATCTAGTTTAACAAGAATTTTTAACTTCCCGTAGGGAAAGTTATAGTAATCGCAAAAAAATCTAAAATGAAAATGTTTATATATCTTTACGTTTCAAAACCTTTTGAATATTTTGGCATACCTTAGAAAAAATGGATGTATGTGTGTGTGTGTATGTGGGTGTGTTCGGATACAAATTTTCGTCGACGATTTCGGGAACACGGATCAACCGATTTGAATAATTCAGAAAACATTCGATTCGTATTGATAAGGAGACGTGCTGATTAGTTTTTGGCGAAGGCAGGTCTAGTCGTTCCGAAGATACGGGGCAAAAAGTGACGAAAACGGTAACTCAGTTTTTAAGAGAACGGAGCGTCCGATTTTAATAATTCAACAAACATTTTACTAAGTATTGATAAGATGAAGAATTGATCATATTTTCATGAGGGTAGGTCTAGCGGTTTCGGAGATCTAACGAAAAAAACGGTTAAAAATGATCATTAGACATATGCACATTAAATTATTATATATTCTATAGAGATTTTAATAATAAGTATAAATTTTGTTTACATTCCTATGGGTTCCGTACCAATGTTTATCCGTTAGACAGCGACGCGGCGCTTACGCGCTTTATATTTAGTCTCTATGCAGTTAAAGCAGTACGATTGCTTTGAAAAAAGTTCAGATCTTTCAAAATATGTCGAAATAAAGATTTTTTTTTTTTAATTTTTTTTCATAAAGAATTGTCCAATTGTCCAATTTATAGTTTCTTAAAAATCTAATTTTTTCGAAGTAATATTTTTCAAAAATGTTATTCGTTTTTAAAAAATTAATAATTTGCTATACGGAAAGTACCAGCAATTTGCCTTAAGGCACGATGCCATGCGCCCCACTAGTTTTTTTTAAATCTCATCCACGAAGGGCCTTTTGTCGCGCCGTTGGAGATCGACGATAACTTAAAAAATATGTAATTTTTTTCTTCAAAAATTTTACTATGTATTCTTAAAACATGTGTAAATATATTCTTAAAATTTTGAAATGATTGACAAAGTATTTATTTTTAATATGAATTCCCAAAAATCACCTTTTTTAGGCGGTTGCACTAGTTGTGCCCCTTAAATCCTGATTGGAAAGAGTCTGATTTCTTGTTTTGGTTTTTGGTTTTTAGATAATAGCGAATGCGATGGCCCAGAACGTAGGTCAGTAATATCAGGTGGCCAGGCTCGTGGATGGTTACCAGATGTGGCGGCTGTTCTTTGGTCCAGGATGTTGGGAGCTTTGGGTAATGTTAATCACATCAGGAGTGCACATCTTCATGCGCAGCTTTTTGAGTACTTGGTTCATTTGATGGAAACTTTGATAAAGGTAAGGGAATTGAAATAAATTAGTGGCGTATGGCATCGTGCCCTAAGGCAAATTGCTGGAACTTCCCTTACCGTAACGAAATGTTCGAGAAATTTTAAACGTTTTCTAATATATTAATACAAAAATTGTAACTTTCATTATTTTTGCTTTCTTGTTATATCTGAGTAAATCAAATGTAAATCATAAATTTCCAGAATTTATTTCCAGAACATTAATAATCGTCATTTCATTTCGAATTCAATTTCAAAAAAAATACATAAGTTTGCCTAATTTACACAAAATTGAAAAAGTGCTCCCGTATAGTCACAGTCTAAACGCATTTGCAAACAATTCTGTGCAACATTTTCACTTACACTGTGCTTAGCTTGTCGGCATTTTCACATTTTTCAATAGTTTACACAAAATTAGAAAAGTGCTTCAATACTTTTCCTTTACTAGACTGTTTAAGTCTAAACGCACTTGAGTAAACATTTGTACCAGAGTGGCGCTTAGACTGTGCTTTGTCTGGGTAAATTTTTGAATTTTTAATTCAATATTACAAAAATATTTTATGGAAAATAAAAAAAGGTGTAATAATTTTTTATCCTCAAAAGCAATTGTTTTGTCAATACAAGCAGAAAGTTTTTTAGATCATTCAAATCGGACGATTAGTTTACTCAAAAACTGACATTTTTTACACATTTAGCTCTGTATCTTCGAAATGGCGGGACCTGCCTTTGCCAAAAACTAATCAGCACATCTCCTTATCAATATGATTCGAATATTTTTCGAATTATTCAAATCGGTTGACCCGTGTTACCAAAATCGTTGACGAAAATTTGTATCCGCACACATACAAACACACAAACATATACATACACACAACATTTATCCATTTTTCGGCATACATCATCACGTCATAGTTCATTTATGTTACTATTTTTGTATTACTGTTTTTATTTTATTTTAATTTTTTTTTTCATTTTATATTCAATTTATTGTATTTTTTTGTATTTTTTCCTTTTTGCACATATCGATTTTGTAAATAAGACATTAAAGTCCTGATTAACAAAAATAAATTATAACAAAAAAAAAATATCCCTTTTTCTAAGGTATGCCAAAATGTTCAGAAGTCTTTAAAACGTAACTAGTGGTGTATGGCACAGTGTCTTAAGGCAAATTGCTGGATCTTCCCGTACCAAAAATTATTTTTTTAAAAAAGTTTTAATTTTTTTTAAGTTTTGAAAAAATTAGATTTTTGAGAAATTTTAAATATTTGAAAAAAACATTAATTTTTGAAAAAAAAAATTTGGAAAAAAATGTTTTTTATTTTGAAATATTTTGGATATTTTGAACTTTTTTTTAAAGCAATCGCACTGCTTCAGCTGCATAGAGACGAAATATATAGAAGCGCCGCGTCGACGTTTAACGGACAAACGACGTTGAGTTGAAAAAATTTATACACATTATTAAATAAAATAAAATAAAATATCAAATAATTTGATATGCATATGTTTAATGATCATTTTTAACTACCAAATCTCCGAAACCGCTATACCTGCCTTCCTAAAAATTTAATCAGTTCTTCATTTTGTCAATACAAATAAAATGTTTTTTGAATTATTAAAATCGGACGCTCAGTTCTCTTAAAAACGGAGTTAGCATTTTTGGCACTTTTTGCCTCGTATCATCGAAACGGCTAGTCCTGCCTTTGGCAAAAACTAATAGGCACGTCTCCTCATCAAAAGAAATCGAATGTTTTTTTAATCATTTTCGTGTTCCCGAAATAGCCGACGAAAATTTGTATCCGCTCACACACACATACATCAATTTTTTCTGAGGTATGCCAAAATGTTCAGAAAGCTCTGAAACGTAAAAATATGCAAAAAAATTTAATTTCGATATATGTGAAAAAAAAGATCAAAAAATTTCTTAATGAATAAAATTGTATCCTCACGTGTAGTACATCTATTTTTTCTAAAGTATGCTAAAATGTTCAGAAACCTTTGAAACGTATATATATATATATATATATATATATATATATATATATATAAAAAATTCATTTTCAATTTTTTTGCGATGACTATAACTTACTCCGTATAATGAATTTTGTTTGATTCTGTTTCCACAGATGAAAGAAAATATTGGTGTCCCTAATGACAAAATCACTGGTCCATCTATCCCTGACCTGGTGCCTCCAATAGGACTTTTGGCAGCTTGGTGCTATGATGCAATCGATTTGTTTCCAGAAAATCCAACTGGCAATAATAATCCTATAAGGTTGTTATGTTTAATTGCCAGACATGGTGGACCTATGTCGAAGGAACAACTTCCAATGTTTTATAGCACTTTACATAAAGGTAATAGATTTACACTAATGCTGGTAATATTTTGTGGTTTTTATATATTATTCCTTTTATCCAGGTTTATGCGGTGAAGACAAATCCATAGGAAATACTGTGATTAAATATTTAGGCGGACCAAGATTTTTGAGTTTATTACTTCCTGGACATACTTTATTGTTGTTGGATTTGGTGCATGCAGCTACTGTGATTTTGACTTCATCTGATTTTGCTTCTCAGGTATATACTTGATTTGTTTGATACAAATGATTAGATTGGATTTAATTAATATCTTTGTTGTTTGTTTAGATTCCAAGATACGAAGCGGCTTCTTTATTGGGTTCCTTGTTGTGTTTGCCCAATTCATCTTTGCCTAAACCAGTTTTGCAACCTGCGTCTCCAAATGTTACTTTGATGGAGTGTCCTGATTTACAGGTAATTAAAGAAATTATATTAGGTTGTCAAATATCTCCCTTTCGCTTTTTTGCTCTTGGTTTATAATACAAAAAGGCGGAAGGGAGATATTTGACAACCTTATATATAATACATTAAGTGTACACCTTTGTTTGCGCCGTTTTTGCAATACGAGTTCTTTATAAAAACGGCGGAGGCAAAGTTGTGCTTGTAATATATAGAAAATGTACATTCTTGATTTAGCTTGCGGACATTGTTTAGTTTTTCAAATATGTTTTAAAAATTTTGTTCCACATAAGAATGACTGAATAAACACCTAAAGAACTACTAATATTGTGAACTATTCTGCTTAATCGTTAAATGTTATATTGAATTATAAATGCATTCAAAATATAAAGAAATATTGGAAAGTAGACTAGCGTTATTATTGCGGAAATCTCCCTAGTTTTCTATAACTATTTTATAAAAATTTATCCAACACAAATAAAATTACAAATATAATTGAAAATCTATTAAAATTTTCTATAACACACACACACACACATATATATATATATATATATATATATATATATATATATATATATATATTATAAAAATATCTATAATGCCTATTTATTTATCAATCACACAACTTTGCTTCCGTCACTTTTGCACACGAGTTCCTTACAATAAAGCCTAGAATTTTGAAAAAAAAAACGGCGAAGCAAAGTTGTACACTTGATATCATGTCATATTTATAACATAACACAAGAGAAGTTTATGTTTTTGCCAGAAAATCCGACAAACTAATTTTATAACAATTTGAGACCTGGAAGAAGTATGTGAGCCAATTTTTTTCGCCGCGACATTTTTATTGTTTTCATTTTCAAAGTTCAACGATGTTTTCGTAATGTTTTTGTTCTAAAACTTAAAATTTGATAAATGCAGTTATGTAGAGAATTTCATAAGCTCTTTATCTATATAAAATAAAATATTTGTATCCTAACAAGTTTTTGCACATTTTAAACAAATATCAAAACAGGTACACACATTTCGTTCGCAAACTCACACGACTTTACAATTCAACTATTTTTTTTTCGCAAAGTTTTTGTTCCAAAAGTTAAAAATTGGTGAACGCAGTTGTTTAGAGAATTTTATAAGCTATTTATCTATATAAAATAAAATTTATGTATTTTAACAAGTTTTTGCACATTTTAAACAAATATCAAATATAATATTTAAAAAAGGTACACACATTTAGTTTGCAAATACACACGATTTTACAACTCAACTATTTTTTTCGCAAAGTTTTTATTCCAAAAGTTAAAAATTGGTAAACTCAGTTGTGTAGAGAATTTTATAAGCCTTTTATCTATATAAAATGAAATTTATGTATTAATATCTTGTTATAATATAGGGTCCGCCAAATATTTTTTTTTTTTACAAACTACTGAATATTTTCTAAAATTTCTTTTTTTATTTAAAGTACAATCCTTTCAGTTAATAATGAAAATTAATTTGGTTAATAATGATTATAATAATTTCATTCAAAAATAAAAAAAAAGCCTCGGATGACCGTTGAAAAAAAAATGAAAATGAAAAATGTTAGATGGCATACCCTATATAACATAATTTTCTTATATGATTGTATTTTTATTTATTTTATTTTTTTAGGAACATGTCCTAAATGTAATTCTACGTTGTGCTCGTCGTGAACCAACAGCTCGGGCACGTTGTGTGGCCCTAAGTTCCTTGGGCCAATTTGTATACCAACAATTGAATTTAACAAAACCAAGTCCTAGAATTCGTGAGGCTGTTTTAGTACTTTTGCACGCCCTTAAGGTACAACAATAAATATAATTTTCCCATCACTTTATTTATTTAATTATCTTTTATTATTTTTTCTAGTTTCGTCATCGAGTAGCTGCCCATCATGCTGCCGAAGCCTTAGCTCTGACTTTAAATCACAAAATAATTGTAAGGCATTTTTATGATTTGCCAGCTGTGATAACAAGATCAATAGCATCTGCCTTGACTTACTTAAGTCCGGCCCTGAACAAAAAAACAACAGAACAAGACAAGAATTTAATTAATTCCATGATCATGTGCTTGGGTGAATTTTGTATGGGGATGACGCAGGAGTATCTTCTGAAAGTTTTTCCTGGGGAAAAGGACTCATTATTGTTATTGGTAAGTGAATTTTCAACTTTTTTAACTTTCCGCAGAGTAGTTATAGTAATGGGCCGAAAATCTAAAATGAAAATTTTTGCATTTCTCGACGTTTTGAAGGTTTCTGAACATTTTACTGGCATACCTCAGAAACTAAATGTATGTGTGGAGACAATTATTAGTCGACGATTTCGGGCGCACGGATTAACCGATTTGAATGGTTTAAGTAACATTCGATTCCTATTAATAGAGGGATGTGCTAATTAGTTTTTGGCAAAGGCAGGTCCAGCCTTTACGGAGATACGGATCAAAAGTGCAGAAAATACAAATCGAGTTTTTGATAGAACGGATCATCCGATTTGTATGATCCAAAAAACATTCAGTTCGTAATGACAGGGAAAAGTGGTTGTTAGTTTTTGGCAAAGGTAGGCCCAGCGGTTTCGGAGATACAGTGTTAAATGTTAAAAAAATGGCAGTTTTTGAGAGAACTAAGCGTCCGAATTAAATGATTCAAAGAACTTTCTGCTTGTTTCAACAAAATAATTGCTTTTGGAAAAAAATTTTTGTTTCTAATTTTTTTTTTCAAAAAATCGTTTTGTAATTTTGGATTTAAAATTCAAAAAATTACCCAGGCTAAGCACAGTCTAAGCGCAACCCTGGTACAAATGTTTACCCAAGTGCGTTTAGACTGTTTTTGTACTGGAGCACTTTTCCAATTTTGTGAAAACTATTGAAAAATGTGAAAATGCCGCCAAGCTAAGCACAGTATAAGTGAAAATGTCGCACAGAATTATTTGCAAATGCGTTTAGACTGTGACTATACGGGAGCACTTTTTCAATTTTGTGTAAATTAAGGCAACTTTTTTTTTGAAATTGAATTAGAAATGAAATGACGATTGTTAATGTTCTGGACATAAATTGATTTATGATTTACATTTGATTTGCTCAGATATAACAAAAGATATCAAAAATAATGAAAGTTTCAGTATATGTAATAATATATTTGAAAATGTTTAAAATTTCTCGAATATTTCATTACGGTACGGGAAGTTCCAGCAATTTGTTTTAAGGCACGATGCCATACACCACTAGTTTACTATGTTTTGTTTGTTTTAGGTTTTTAGAGTCCTTTACGCTTTGACGATGGGAAAGGCTCCAAGTTATGTACAAAAACATTTAGACAGCGACGAAAGCGATTTTAATTTTACAATTTCAGTCGACGACATGACTGATATAATACCTTTGACTTTATCACCTTCATCTAACAGGAATTCAAATGCTGTGAATTCTATTAAACTTTGTGCTAAAACGGTAAGAGAAAATAGAAATAAATTTAAATGTTATTTATTATCACTTTAACTAATTTTTTGTTCAATTTTTTTGTAGGTTTTGATGCATTTAGTAAATAATATCGGACATTTCCCGATGAGTGTGGGTGCAGCTAGACTTAGTTCATTAGTTGATGAATTTGATGATTCTTTAAGAAGTGACAATGATGCAAATAATCAAGTAAGTACAAATCACTCATAATTCACATATAAATTATATATAAGCAATATTTTGCCTTAAATAATCGACGGAATTAATAAAAAATGAGATTTAACTATTAGCATTTACAACTGTTTATATTAGATATAACGTTTTTGCTATATTAGTTACATCATTTAACATTTAGAATAAAAATATCTCATAAAGTAGTCATTGATCTCAACAAAACACAATTACTTAGTGGATAATAATAGTAAGATTTATTTATTTATTTATTTATTTAAATTTTAATGAATAAATAAATAAAAATACGTTTAAACTTTATAATCGAGTTGTTTAAAACCAGAAATTTCCTTACGCACTTTTCTATTTAACTTATTTGTGCGAATTTTTTTTAAATTCATATATGTATACGTTAAGAATATTAATAACTATAATAATTAATTCTACGTGCATTAATTGTTTTTTTTTAAACTTTTAGAACAAAAAAATCGTGAAATTGAAAAGGAAAATACGTTAAGTATATATAAACCGACTGTTTTATCTGGTACATTTTTTTTACTATTCATATGTTTCTCGTAAAAACTTGCTTAAATACATAAATTTTATTTGATATAAATAAAAAACTTATAGATTTCTTTATATAACTGCATTTATCAATTTTCAATTTTTTGGAACAAAATAATTACGAAAAAAATCGTCAAACTTTAAAATTGTATAACTTCGTGAAGAAAATGCTATACGATTTTCGGTCATTTGTGTAAAATATTCAAAAACTTGTTAAATGACATAAATATTATTTTATATAGATAAAAACCTTATAAAATTCTCTATACAACTGCATTCAGCAATTTTCAACTTTTGGTACAAAAACATTGCGAAAAAAATCGTCCGAAAATCGTATAACTTTGCAAACATAATTTGTGTGCCTCTCCGGATATTTGTTTAAAATGTGCAAAAACTTGTTAAGATATATATATATAGTTAATTTTATACACATAAATCGCTTATAAAATTCTCTATACAACTACATTTAGCAATTTCCAACTTTTGGAACAAAAAACATTACGAAAAAATGGTTAAACTTGAAAATCGTATAACCTTGCAATCTTAATTTGTGTACATTTTTGGATATTTGTTTAAAATGTACAAAAACTCGTTAAATCACATAAATATTATTTTATGTTTATGTGATTTTACCTCTTACCTATTTTATATAGGTAAAAAGCTTATGAAATTCTCTAAACAATTGATTTACCAAATTACATGTATTAGAACAAAAGATTACGAAAAAATCGTTAAATTTGCAAATCGTATAAAATTGCGAACGAAATGTTTTGTACGTTTTGGGACATTTGTTCAAAATGTGCAAAAACTTGTTA